TTTACATATCATTCAGTGTTATCTCGCATAAAATACCTACTGCTCCGATATGTTCCCACATTGGGCGCAGTTTAAGAGAAACAATCAATATCGCAGAAAGGGGAATACACGCTTTGATAAATGACTGGCGTTACCCCCTTCTAGTCTCCTTTATTATAGAAAATGGACCCTGCAGATGTATCTTTCCCACGTTTATAGAAAACCACGTTAGGTCCGTATCTTTAAAGGAAGTAAACGATTTTATACAACTTTATATATACATACATACTTATATTCAAATTCAATTAAAATTAATAAACACTATATAGATTGTTTTATGAACACTTTTGTGGTTTAGCAGGTTTTTTAACGTCATTTTCTAAGGAGGGATTTAGCGGTTTTACGCGAAAATAAAAATTATCATTCCAATAAACATTGCAATAAAATAATTAGGTTACTTTATTGATGATAATTAATAACTTTTTCTACTAAATTAAATAAATTAACTTTTTTTTAAAATTCAAAGTGAATAATGAAACAATAACATTTTTGTAATTCTCTTACTAATATTATGTAAAAGAAATATGATTTTTATAAACTAAATCATTAAATCAAATAAGGTACTGCATAGGAAAATAACATATCTTTAGTCTCAATATTTAGTTATGGTTGAAGAAGAAGATTTGAAGAAAATTTTATAAATAAATATTTTTTACCTCACACCAATTAGCCTACACCCAAAGCAAGCACTATAAGCCTTGTTTTTTGGGATACTAGGGTAACGGATAGAATACATATACTGTACATATATGAGTATATTTTTATAGAAATACATATGAAACCCATGACTGAATGTGTACTTCAGTCATGGGTTCTCGTATTCATCACACAAACATCCGCCCCCACCGGGATTCGAAACCGGGACCTCTCGAGTCGGCGACACCATGAAACCTGGTGTACGAACTTTTTGATTTGACGGTTGAGTCTTAATAATAACGTTATTAGTCATGAGAAGTATTTCAATGTCGAAATATCGGAGCAAAACTGCTAAATTTCAATAGCGATTTTGAATTTATGAATATCGACATTTTCGACACTGACTGCTTTTAATAAAGATAAAAATAAATTCACAACTCTCTCAACACAAGATCTCCACACCGTTCGGTCCTGCGCCAACCGTATCCGTCGATTTCCCACGACTTTCCCTAGATCATCGGTCCGCGTCGAAGAGTCTAGCCTCTCCACTGAGTATCGTCCAGCGTAAGGTCGCCAGTCGAGAACCTTTCCGCCCTAATGGTCATCAGATCTCATCGCCACGTATCCTGCCCATTGCTACTTCAATAGAGCAATCTTTTGAGCAATGCCGGTTACTTTAGATCTCCTACGGATTTTCTTATATCTGAGTCTATTGTTCCGGGCAAAACCGAGTAGTGCTCTGTCGATTTGTCGCTGTGTGACCCTGAGTTGTCTTATGGGATCCGTAGTTAAAGACTATGTTTCGCTTCCGCAGGTCATCATTAATTTAGTCGGTAAGACGCACTGGTCAACGATTTTTGGTTTGAGATTTAGACACAGGTAATTTAAACGTAAAGATCTTACGTTATTTCCCGAACGCTTCCCATTCGAGCCGGCTTCGACAAGAGATTCCTGTTTTGAAGTCGGACTTTAATATCTAATTTTTCTGTTTGTCCCAGGTATACGTAGTGGTTAACAACTTCGAATGTAGTGTTCCCAATTTTAACTGGAGTACTATGTTATTATGGACATTCGACATGATTTTTGTCTTAGCCATCTTCGTCTCGAAACACGCTCTTTGAGACTTCTAAGATCTTCGAGCATTGTGTTCAGATCTTCCAAGGTTTTAGGTATAAGAGCTATATTATCTGTCTTTAAATTTTAAAAGACAAATGATTTCTTTTGCTTCTTTTGACTACTAATAGTGATAATTCAAAGACTTTGGATATCTCGCATTAACGAGTATATTTATTTTATTTTCTTGTATTGAAATTATTTATTTAACTTACGTCCAACGTCAATGAGTATTATTTACATTAATTTTCTGACGTACAATTAGTACAACATTAATTACATATTATGGTAATGTCGTACATTTAAATTCATTCTTATATTAAAATTTTGCATGCTGCGTCAACCTGCAGTATATACCTATAACGATTTTTATATTTAATACAACACAGTTTTTTTAAGCGGGTCGTCCTTGCTAGGTTTTATTGACCTCTCCTGAAAAATTGGAAATTAAAGTGACATCTGTCAGAACTATATTATATTCTATTCACTAAAAAAGCGATGATTTATGCATTCGGCCTGTGAAGTTACTCCTAGCAATAGGTTGAAACATCGTCTTTCCAATACAATTCAAATATTATGATAATATGACGGGTATGTTCCGACTATAAGTCAAGAGGCTACGTGTTTTTGTGTTTTTACACGTGTTTCTCAGATTATTAAAACCAGCTGAGTAATGCAAATAAGACATGTTTTTTTATATTGTGTTTTAACGATGGGAATGTTATATGTTTTTTTTGTGAAATGCAGAAACCTATAAAAGTAATTGCGAGTTTAAGATAAAAATATAAACATTTTTTTTTTAAGTGAATGCTTCTTTAGTACCTTTGTGATTTGAGATTCGACGAAACGGAAGAGAGTATTTGACCCATGGTAGGTAATGTATATATATATATATATATATATATATATGTATATGTAGGTATAGTCCGTAATTTTATCATTTACCATAAGAGCCGAATATCTGAACGGTAAAGGTCTCAACTGATCGGAGGTTTGAGCCTGAACTCGGTTTTTTTTAATTGTTTCAATTGTTTTTTTTTCTTTTATTAAGCTATTATTTATTTTTCGAAACAATTTAAATATAGAGTATTTAAATTTGCCCAGTATTTTACAATACCTGAATAGTTAAGTATTAAACGTTTGGTAGGTGCCTAAGTTGTTTATTAATACAGGCTTGTTTTTTATCAACAATCCTTATTTTTCCAATGTTTGCAATTTTTCACAGTAATTTTTTATAAATAAATATATATCACACTTTAAGATTAAATAATGAGAAAAGAGTGTTTTCCACCAAATTGGGGTCATTTCGGTAGAAACGTCCATGACGTCACCATTTTTTGCGGACCGCGTACTTCCAACTGATGTAAAATTATCTGAAGTTCAGAGAGCATTGCATTTTTATTCACAACGCCATCTACATATTTTGCCTCAACTAAAGAGACCAAAAGCAGCGTTTAGGATGGTTTCTAAAGCGTGCTAATGACAAAAAACAGAACCGCCCACAGAGGACACTCAAATATTGACTGGAAAAACTTGTATGACACTCATGTGTCATGGGACGTTTGGGAGGGTACAACGCTTGAGAAAAGGTATCACAATAACCCAATCAACCCCGAAATCTCGCGGGGTACCCCGGGAGATTTGGTTCGATCTCTGGTCACGTCAACTTCTAAAATTAACTTTTTTTTATTTTCTCGGGTCTAGCTGGTTATTTTATTGTAGTTTTTTCTGATTCGCTTAATACAAAAGCTTTTATTATTATGATGTTGTACAATATTTATTTAATGGATATCGTCTGGCATATACCATCTTATCTTCATACTACTACGATGGCACTCAATACAAAAATCTTCTTCATAGTGTCGATTTACACAATAAAATTTAATATCAACTTGATAACATTAAGATAATTTTTTATTGCTTATCAAACCAACTTGGTGTCTCGAAAATCTTCTTCATAGTTTCGAAGTTTCTTAAATAATAATATGTGATTTTAACTTGATAAGATTAATAGCGTTTTTATTTCATAATGACACCTGAAAGGCCACTGACCTTAGTTGAAATTCTGTGACTGAACGGTAAAATAGTTTTTATAATATATTCTTTAATATCAACCAACCAAATATCCAAAAACGTTTTTTAAAACAACTTTCTAAAAGTTTTATTTTACATTTGAATTTGAATAAAATATTGTCATGCAAATATTGAATGGTTAATAAGTACTTGATCTAAATGGAAGCCCATCTAGAAAAATATCATCATCTTAGGAAAATCAATAAAACTATACATTGAAACTGAGAATACAATTACAAAAAAAAAGCCTTTTCTTAACGCACACGTATCCGATCTTTTCGTTGTACTGTACAGTGTTGTACGTTTTGCTACAAGGTGACTTGATTGCACGTCACAATCACAAGGTTCTCGTTTTCCCCGCGTTCTAGTTTGCTGCTTAAACACGATACTGTACCCTTAGTACGAGTTTGAGCTCACAAAAACTATCATAGTTTGCCTAATTGTAAGCTCGTACTAAGGGTACAGAATCTTCAAATAATAAGCTACCTACCATCAATCGAGTAAAAGCTTCAACAGGAATCGCGTTGATACACCTATTTAAATTATAATACGTAATCTTGATTGACAAAATATGTATCCGACGCCATATGATTCATTATTTATGTTATGATTTTTTATTTTCTTGTTTCACGGGTAATTAAACACTAAACCCGTCCTGACCTGTTATTTTGATGACATGTCTTTTTCAATTAACATAATTGTCTTATTTAACCCTAGCTGCGAAAGTGGTTCACTTTCGTGTTTAAGGTTAAAAAATAAGATTTTCGACGCATTGATACCCAATGACAATGAGCACATGATGATTCCACTTTCTCGGGCGACAGCACAAAAACTGTGTGCGACTTTTTCAAACGAATTACTTTTTTTTTCATCGTACTTGATGCACAGCGTAGATCGTCGAGCAACTATCGAATGTGTCAACGACCCACTTTAGAAGTAACCTTCTACTTTTCCCGTCCTCAATGTTTGTTTAATGACTGACAAACGACAGAGGCCACGAAGTTTGGCATGCTGCAAAGATGCGTTGTTAAAAGGAACATCATCCAACTTACTTTTTTTTTATTTTTTTTTTGTGTTGTTTTTTTTTTTATTTACGGAACGGGTATGAGAACTATATTTTTCTTTTTTTTTCTTTTCAGTTACGTTAACGCGGACTCATGTAGTCTCGGACGGTGATGGCTACGGGTGACTTTCGATTAGTGGTCTCTGTCTCTGTGAATTGTGTCAGTGAGTGATTGGCGTGCTTGTGGTGTCATAGCCAGTGTGTCGCTAGTGTTGGAAGTGGTGCCAGTGATGTGACGGTACATGGAAGTGTCAGGTTGTTCTCGGAATGTTCACGAAGCACGGCAAAGCCGCTGAGCGGTGCCTCCATCCTCACTCGCATAGGGGGCGCAAGAAGAAAAAGGCGGCGCAGCATACGCCCTGGAAGTACTTGATGAATTGCCCACTCGTTAGGAAATGTTTTGGTATAGTACCTTTTTTATTTAACATTTTTTTTAACCTTATTTTTTATTAATCTTTAGGTGTCTGTGAATGTTTTTCGAGTGTTTCGAGTGCCAACTTTGAATCAGTATCAAAATTTCCTCACTACAACCGATTCCATCAATTAAGTTCACAAGAAGAATTAATGATGAAGTGTGTACATACAGCATACAGCTATATACCTTTTTATAGATTGTACGTTTAGAAACTGGTAATAAAATCGTTTAGTATTATAATTTAAACATTTGTATACCTACATACAAGCTTACATAAAATAAGATTAGGTATAATTTCAAAATCGTCATCCTGAAGTTACATCAAAATGGAATAAAGTCAGTTAACTCATCCTCGTTAGTTTACATAAAGAAAAACTTAAAATGTTTTAATAAATAAATTATAATAATAAAATGATTGTATTATGATAATATGAACATCCTAAAACATGATTAGGTAATAAAAAATAGGTAATAATAAGGTAAAAAATAGAAAAAAGAAACTTGAAAACTAAATGAATTCTTCTAATAAAAAGCTGCGAGCATTTTATAAAATAAAAATTTCTTTGACTTGGTCTTCAATGATTTCGTCGAAATCAGATATGAAATTGGAAGAGCCCGTTATTATGAAATGGAATTCCTAAAAATGAAAATATTTGATATTCCAAGTACAATCGATGCCATGTTGGTGGAAGCAGTTTTAATATTGAGATACACATTATTCTGTTTGTAATGAAAACGATAATCTTATTGAATGAGTAAATAAATACACGGTTCGATATTTTACACCTAACTCGTGAAAGACTGATTTTAATTTTATACAGCTGTCTCCATGAGGTCTATTTGATTTATGCGACTAGATAAAACTATACTTTACGTGATAAGTCACACTGAAGTGAACGAGTTTTGCAAGAACTTTGGAACTAAGTATATAAAAACAGGTCACCACAATCGAAATCCAGTCTTTATTTTTACTCGTTACAAATCTCGAGGCCAAAATTTTTTTAATTTCCTCGTTACTATATAAAAGACATTATGAATATTTAGTTGTCATATAAATTATTTCGAAGTTTGCTCCAGACACGAGTTTGTCATTATTGAATGTTAAACTCGTTCATGAGTGTATAATTATAATTGTTGTATTTTTCTTCTTTATTAATTAAAAAGAGAGAGATGGGGAGGGGCGAAGTAAAATTTATATAAGTATAAACTGAAGCAATTATAGTTGTACTCTTTCTTAAAGACAGGATTTCCATTAACTTTGCCCACACACTACTACGGATCATTTACTTCCAGGTAAATAGCTGTTTTTCAAAACGATTTTATTAAAGAAAATATAACTAGAAAACATTTTTTTCTAGATAAATTTTCTTTAGATTGAAACATCAAGCAGTTACATGCTTAAAAATATAAATTATAACGATTTTATTAGCTTGACCTGTTTAAAATGTGTCTATGTAACGGAATCTTTCAACACAATTTTCACCCACTTCAAGTCGTCATCTAATTGATTTGAAAATTTCCACACGTATTATCTAAAGGTGGATGACAATACAAAAATGTACCGAACTATTCCCCTGATTGACCCCCCACCACATAATCCCACTTCCCCCCAAGTGTTTGTTCGGCGATTGGTATAAATATCGACATTTGTTCTCGGCATAGTGTACCTATCGATTACAATTTACGAAAAAACTTTGGATTCCGACATTTTACAAGACTACTGATGATGATGATGGCTGATACGTTTGATTGAAATTTAGTGAATCATCTAATTGAGTGATTCTTAGCCGGTGGTCCATAGAAGCACCCGATTTCTCGGCTTGAGGTCACTTTAGGATCTCGCCGTCCCCATGCCCTGTGACGCTGTTAAAGGTCATCAGCGACCAACAGCATACACACACAAAAAAGCTAAATAACTTAAGGAAGAACGCTGATTGATTCAAACGAAAGCACCACGCGCTGTTTTGCAATGAAATAAATTTTCCTTTTATCACTTTTGGCTGATGAATAAAATATTAATAATAAAATAATATTTTCTGGTTTTTAGAAAGAAAGAAGGAAAATGTTTTATTCAGTTTTGTATTAGTGCAATTTGCTAATAAAGCGTGCTTTTTAGTTTTTTTTTAACTATAATTTATGTTCGGCTGATGCATGTTCTCGACCTTGCGACGTTCGACTCGAGATTTGCAGTGCAATTAATCGCGCGATTTGTTCATCGACCCGTTGGTAGGTCTTCTCTTATAACGATCGTCCCCTTTTGGCTTGAGGTTTTGTTCGTGTGGAATCATGGATGTATCTAAACGTCCGATTAAGGAACATCCAATTTGCTAACGAATTTCGCCTTTGATTGGAATTGAATCGTATTTGCTTTGCGAATTAACAGCAGAGCCATAAATAACGATGAGAGCTAAGTACTATTGTAATCTATACGTAAATTATAAAAATTCAGACTACAATAGTCTAAAACTAAAAAACAGAAATGTAAAACAGTGACATTAATTTATAGACCCTCGTCGATGACGTCACGTCTTGGAACAATTTCTATTTAAAAGTGAGGTCACTTCCAAATTTTGACGCGATTTAAAATTTGTAATTTTTTAGTATATAGACAAAAGAAAATATATTTTTTTATAATCTTACTGACGGACTATATAAAATTTCGTTTACTTTATCCCGTCATCATCCCTATTTTTGACCACAAGTGGTAACGCGCAAACTTCCGCATTCAGTTCCATCCACATGCAATCGACATTATTAATGAAGTTATAATAACTACCTACTGCTTTGATTATCCTCATAGCATTAATCGCAGTATAGTCAAAAAGTAGCTTACTATAAGGTGATATTATGAAGGTATTATGTAAATTTACTTGCCGATGATCCATTCTTGTTCGTTAGTACCTACATCAACAATATTATTATGAGAAAAGGTCGTCTTTTTCTTGTGGTAGTCAAAGTGGATCAAATAGAATAGATATACTCATCAATTTATTATTCACCATTGCGTCAGTATTTTTTGTATATTAATATTTTTGTATTGGTGTAAGTTTCATTATAATATTATATAAATTAACCTTAATGTATACTAAAGGTTAGGGAAATCGTTGAATTTAAATGGCGAGACCCACCACAGCACAAGGTACAATCAAAATCACATTATTAGTTCTTTTTTTTCATCGATAGCGCTCTTTTTCATATAGCAATAAAAGCTATATTCATAGTCGAAGTTATCCAGTGTAAAGCTTAAACTGTACTTAAGTTAGCAAACTTTTGGATTGTTTCAATGTAAATTTTTGTAACAGATGTAATTTATTTTATACACGCTAATACCATTTAAATGCAAATTACATATTTCTTTGATGTAAAGTTAAACAAATAATATAAATACTGGTATTTTCTTGTTTCTTTATTACTTAAAATACTAGGTTAATGAAACTTGTGCCAGTGCCTTTATTTTTTTTAATAGCCAAATATTTTGACTAAGGGTGGTGTTTGTTAAGCCCTAACTAGAGTTAGGCTCTACATGCGATCTGTTAGCTTTTTGACAGTGCCAGTTAAATGGTCTCGTCTTGTCAACGTTTGACATGAAAATGTTTGTAGACATCCTATTATGTATCGTAGCGTGTTAGATAAGCATTTTATTTTTTTTGGAGTATTTTTCGATTAATTATTATATAAATATTTGGCCAGAACCAGTTTTTTTATTGTAGATTTTTATACCTGAAGTTATTTATGTAGATATCTTTAATATGTACTCTGCCTGATATTCGAATTCTGTGTCTCAAAACGAGACAAAAGCAATCGCGTTATAATTGAAAGTGTTACTATTTATTTCGTTTTCGTAAAGATTCCTGCCAACCGTGTCAGCGTTGGAGGGAACTTTACGAGAGAACTGCAGCTGATACTTTGTGATATAAATTTAATTGTTCTTAAAAAAATGTGCTTCTGAAGACACTAATCGCAATTTTTTCGCTGAAAAGTCAATTATAATAATAGTATTATTAGTTTAGATTCATACTTTTGGCCGTTAATTGTTTTATATGCATTTGATATAATCAAGTGGTTAGCGTTGTTAGATTGAATTAATTTATGAAACTGTGTAAAAACCAATTCTTTGAATATTTCAATTTAGGCTGTATAAGAAAAATCTTTTCCTAAAAGATAGTACTTCAATTTATCAACTGGTTGGTCAACGAGTTGAGTGAACTCGCCTGTTGCGTTTGGTAGTGGTGTAGTGACATCGGGTACCTTTTTGCTGTTTCATTTCATTACGTTGCATTAGCCATAACCACAAGTTACTAACGCATCATCAGCAAAAGAATAGTAGTCACGAGCAGTCCGTAACTCTAATAGGGTTGTTACATCGGACTTAAAAATATAAAGTCCATACTATCCGTACTGATATTATAAATGCGAAAGTGTATCTATATGTCTGTCTGTCTGTCTGTCTATCTGTCTATCTGTCTATCTGTCTATCTGCCTATCTGCCTATTACCTCTTCACGCTTATACCGCATTATGCAAAAACTGAACTTTGTATTTGATACCAAGTAAAATACAGATCAAGTGACGGGCACCACATATTGAATCGAATATATCGTTCGTTCAACATCATTCCTTATTGTTTGATAAACAGCCAAAATATTGTAGAAATCTTTTTCACTTTTTATTATTATGGCAGCGTGAAATGGGCAAAAGTCGGGCCATTATCCTTGAAATAGGTAATTATCGTAATAAGAATTTCAAATAAAGTAAGACATTTAATTAAATGTGCTTTTTTTGTAAAGAAAATGAAATGAGAAGAATGTTTTCTTGAGATTTATACATAATCTGATCTTTGGCAATCATATTGCTGATTTTTTTATAGCTAGTTCCGACAAATGATTTAACCCCACCTGATGTTAAGTTACTTACAATACAAACTTATGTCTGGACACGCGTTTCCATATTCATTATCTTAATAGCCGTTGCCCCCGACTCCGTCTGCAT